ACAGTACACACATCAATGTAAAATGGGGACACTTCCGAATGTTACCATAGCATTGAGGCTCAAGCATCACTACTCTATGCTTCTCCTGTCAGTTTACAATAGGATCATTCATCACTAGCTGTCTTTCAGTCGGGAGAGGATCGAGGAAGGAGAGAAACAGGAGAAAATATTCTGGATTCAATGAAGACATCAGCATATTTTTTCACTGTATGCTATGGGTTGAGCTACCCTTTTTTTACAGTGACCTGCTTTTAGTCCTGATCATGTGAGAGGGAAGGGGAGGGTTTTGTCTAGGAGTGGGAGAGGGAGTCCTCCTTTTGGGTCGGATAGTGGCTTCAGTATCTCATGCTAGAACCCTTTCTTCTTCTCTTTCTCTCTTTTTCCTTTTTGTGTAGTATGGACTCTAAGCAGAAGAAAGGGTCAGACTTTTTCTTTTTCTTTTTTTGTCTCGATCCTTTAACTACTTAAAACCAATCAAACACTACATAATTGCTATTATCATATGCACATTGTGTAGTACATTATGGTATCAAGAGTATATACTTTTGTTGTTACGTTAAGGTTGTAGAGTTACAATATATAGACAATGGTCACATGCAATAGAGGTAACATATGGTACGGTATGTAATGGTACCATTATCATATGGTATGGTATCTAAGTATTAAGGAACATTATTAATATGATGCTACAGTGTGTTATATAGACAAGGATCACAGGTAGCAGTGGTAGGAGGTAGTTACCGTAATGGTATATGGTATTAAGTATTAAGAAACATTAATATGGTCATATATTGTGTTATATTTAGGATATCTCAGGTTATAAGTTAATGTAGGCGATGGTAATGGTATATATGGTGGTAGCAATGTGCTCAGTAAAGCAAATGTAGGCATATTTACATTTTAAAGGTCAGAGGTTATAAGGTATTATAGGTAATGCTATGAATGTACTTGTATAGCAAGGTTAATATGGTATAGGTACACATATTGAGGATCATCATGTTATGATGTAGGTAATGGAACATAGGAACATATAACAAGGTTAATATGGTGTTTATCATAATGGTTTTACAATTGTATAAAGGGTCATAGGTTATAAGTAGTCTTTAGAAGCTGAAGTATGGATATGATGAATGGGTTGCAAGTACTTGCAACCTCAACCTACAATCATCCCAAATAAAAATTTGGGATGATTTCGGAGCCATTTTTTGGAAGAAACCATGGACTATAGCCTTGGGTATTTTTCAGATTTTTGGCATTTTCAAGAATTGGTAGGAAAAATTGAAGTAGGAATCAGCCTATATTCCATTGTCCATTGTCCATAGTCCATAGTCCATAGTATACAGTATCGATCTACAGTGTAATTACAGTTGTAATGGATAAGGTATATCAAGTTATCAACAGTACATGCAGTCAAAGATAGTATAGACTATCTCAGTATACTTTGTAGGTGGGGCTATTAAATTTAAATTAACTTAATAACTCTATTATCTATGCAATAATGGAGGCTAAGTATCGCTTCTCCATTGACAGAGGAGGTACATTCACTGACGTGTTTGGAGAGACCCCTGATGGAAGGGTTGTAGTACTAAAACTATTATCAGAAGATCCACTCAACTATCCTGATGCCCCAAGAGAAGCTATTAGACGGATACTGACTTCAGTGAGAGAGGACAATAATTGATTGTACTCTTGATGGTCTTTTGATCTTAGGAATTAGGTCCTGAATCAGTAGAAGAAGATGGACTGATAGATTCTAAGTATATAGAATGGATTAGGATGGGGACAACTGTAGCTACCAATGCACTGCTGGAGAGGAAAGGAGAGAGGTGTGCTCTTGTCATTAATCAAGGATTCAAAGACCTACTGTACATTGGCAATCAATCCAGACCTGATCTCTTTGACCTGGTCAATCTTTTCATCTTTGACAATAACTTTATGTGTATATACTATAGTCTGTCTCAATGCCTCAAGTTATATATGATAAAGTGGTTGAAGTGAAAGAAAGGGTTTGTTTGGTGAGAAATGATTGTCACATGAACCTACAGTGCACTGTAGTTACTGGGTCTACTGGAGAAAAAGTATTTCATTGTTTATTGTGAGCTACTGTTATTGCTAGTAGGTACATGTGTGGGAAGATATAGATAAGGACCAGTTAGTGAAGGACTTACAATATCTGCTAGAAGAGGGGATTAATAGTTTAGCTGTGGTACTCCTTCATTCCTATACTTATCAGGAACATGAGAAGCAGATTGGATCATTAGCTAAGGAAATGGGTTTCACTCACGTCTCATTGTCTTCTGATGTTATGCCAATGGTTAAAATTGTACCACGTGGCTATACAGGTTATACATGTAGACTATTGGATTATTAATTATTATAATTATTGTTTAGCTTGTGCCGATGCTTACCTGACTCCATGCATTAAGAGATATGTGAACGGGTTTTGTTCTGGTTTTAAGGATCCTGTTAGTATAGAATGTATACGTACATATATGTAATAATATGAATTATCATTGATAGAATGATCTTAAGATATTGTTCATGCAGAGTGATGGTGGCCTTACTTCAATGGATAGTTTTATTGGATCAAGAGCAATATTGTCTGGCCCTGCAGGAGGTGTGGTTAGTGCATTATTAATAGTTTATATTGATGTATATACATTATCAGTTTGTCAGTAGTTGTTAATGTACATGTATGTAGGTAGGCTATGGTCAAACTACAAGTCTATTTGGTAAACCAGTGATTGGTTTTGACATGGGCGGCACTTCTACCGATGTTTCAAGATATGATAATAATTATGAACATGTCTTTGAAACTACTGTTGCTGGAATTACAATACAAGCACCTCAAGTATCCATGCACACATTATGGTTAAGTGTGAATCCATCTTTTATTGACAGTTGGATATCAACACTGTTGCAGCTGGAGGCGGCAGTAGGTTATTCTTTAGATCTGGTTTGTTTGTGGTTGGACCCGAATCAGCAGGTGCTAATCCTGGTCCTGCTTGCTATGGAAAAGGTACTCAACGTATTCTTTGTTTTATTTTTGATTAATATTATTTTGTAATTTTATTTTTTAATTTTTCTATTTTATTTTTTTAAGTTGCTCCAAAATTGAAAGGGAGAGATTTATTCATTACATTTTTGTGGATATACAGTTTATTTAATTTTATTAATAGGTGGCCCCCTCACTATAACAGATGCTAATCTTGTCTTAGGGAGACTTATACCAGAGTAAAAACTTATTCATTTATTGATTTATTTATTTATGTATTTATAGATATTTTCCGTCAATATTTGGCCCCAACGAAGACCAGTGTCTCATGTTGGACAGGTCCCTCTCTTTAATGGCGGAACTAACTGAAACTATTAATTTATTTTTGCTGGAGACTGACCCTCACCGTAAACCATTGTCCACTCAAGAGGTAGCCATGGGTTTCATTGCAGTTGCTAATGAGTCAATGTCCAGACCAATAAGAGCTCTTACTCAGGTATTATTGTTTACATTATTACATTTTGTTTGTATTTACTTGTTTACATTTATCAGGGTAAAGGCTACAATACATCTGAGCATGTCTTGGCTTGTTTTGGTGGGGCTGGGGGCCAGCATGCTTGTTCCATTGCCAACAGTCTTGGAATGAAGAATGTATTTATACACAAGTAATTATAATTATGTATTTATTGTTATTATTATTATTATTAATTAGGTATGCTGGTATATTGAGTGCTTATGGTTTAGCATTAGCTGATGTGGTACATGAGTGTATTGAATCCTGTGCTCTTGTTTATGATGGTAGGTAATTGAGGGGGTGTTGCTCATTAATTATTCATTATAGAATCTAATTTCAATTACATTGATCAAAGGATTGACGTGTTGGTGAAAGAAGGTGTGGCTCATCTCATATCTCAAGGGTTTCCCCCAGAGAGTATTCAGACCACACCCTTTTTACACCTTCGCTACGATAAAACAGACTGTGCTCTAATGTGTACTCCTGCAATTAATCAGGGAGGTGTGGCCTGTCGTCATGGTGATTTTTTAACAACTTTTACCGAAAGGTCTATCTATATTTTCTATTATGAAAACTTATCCCGTTGGTAGATACAAGACTGAGTTTGGTTTTATCATTCCTTCTCGGCCTGTCGTTGTTGATGATATTCGTGTACGTGCTGTTGCTAAGGGACTGTCTCACTCTCCTAAACTCCTCCCCCTAGCAACAGAAGACCCGAATCCTGTTACAGTAAATATTATTGTTTAATATTGTTGTTATTGTTTATTAGTTTAAAGATTGTTATTTTGCTACCAAAGGTTATGTAAATACTCCTGTATATTTATTACACAATTTGACTAATGGCCATAAGATAAAAGGTCCTGCCATTATCATTGATAAGTTAAGGTACACCACCTGATCGTATTATATTTTATAAGGTCCGTGTTATGTAGTACAATACTAGTGGAGACTAACTGCTTAGCTGGTATCACTGAGTTTGGTGATATCAATATGAGCATAGGCAGGCAGGAGCAGTCCTCCATTGGATCGGAACTGGACATGATTCAATTGTCAATATTTTCCCATCGATTCATGAGTATTGCTGAACAAATGGGACGGTATGTGTCAATTAATAACTTGAATAATCTATTAATACTTTACAGTGTATTGCAGAGGACATCAATATCTACTAATATTAAAGTGTGTTCCACTTATCATTATTATTATTATCATTATTATTATTATTATTAGGAGAGGTTAGATTTCTCTTGTGCTTTGTTTGGGCCCGATGGTGGTTTGGTTGCTAATGCTCCTCACATTCCAGTCCACCTTGGAGCAATGCAGGAAACTGTACAGTATCAGTTGTGTCATCATAAACAAGATTTAAGACAAGGGACTGTGTTACTGAGTAACCATCCAACAGCAGGAGGGAGTCACTTACCAGATCTCAATGTTGTAACTCCAGTGAGTGTGTACTCTTAGCATAACTGACAAACCACGAGTTTACATAATGAACAATGGAGGGTCATTGACTACTGTGACAGCAATAATGACTCTTATGTACTCTTGTCATTAGGTATTTTATCCAGGAGAAGAGAGTCCTGTGTTCTTTGTTGCTAACAGAGGACATCATGCTGACATTGGAGGGATCAGTCCAGGTATACAACAGTACATGTGCATGTCATAAAGATTATTTATTAATGCATGTATAATTATTATTATTACATTTATTATACATGTAGGTTCAATGCCTCCAAATTCCACCCACATTAATGAGGAAGGCATGGCAGTCAAATCTTTCAAATTAGTTGAAAACGGAATATTTCAAGAAGAAGGTGTGGCAGTGGGTGTGGTTTTATGATATTGTCTTCCTGAGCTTAGGAGTAACAGAATTATTAATGAGCCCCGCCCAGTTTCCGGGTTGTAGCGGTACACGTAATCTCCATGACAACCTTTCTGATCTCAGAGCTCAAGTGGCAGCCAATCAAAAAGTGTTAATTAATAATAATGAATATTAATAATTTGATGTGTGTTAAGTAGGGTATATCCTTAGTTAAGGAATTGATTGACTGTTACGGTTTAAAAGTTGTCCAATCATACATGAAACATATACAGGTGATTAATTATTATTAGTTTTATTATTATTATTATAGTAGGAAAATGCTGAAATTGCTGTGAGAGATAAATTGAAAGAAATTGCCAAAAAGGCACAAGTATGTACATCAAGTAGAAAATGGAGAGTTCTCTCCCAGTCTTTTCTTATATTAATATCAGTATAAAAGATAATAATTCTTCTTCCATCCAGTGCAGTACAGGTAGTACTAGCTTGTCTGCAGTTGAGTTTATGGATGATGGTTCCCCTGTTAGAGTCACCATTAATATTAATAAAGATGAAGGAACTGCATACTTTGATTTCACAGGAACTGGTCCTCAGGTGTTGTATAGTGTTCGTGTACATGATATGGAGTGTGTGATCTGTATAGGTACCAGGTAACACTAATGCACCAAGAGCTGTCACTTTTGCAGCAATCCTCTACTCATTGAGGTGTATTGTGGGACACGATATACCACTGAACCAGGTCAGCATTGTTATTGTTGTTGTTGTTATTGTTGTCATTGTTGTTTGTAGGGTTGTTTAAAGCCAATTACAGTTCACATTCCTGATGGAACTATATTGTCTCCTGATGATACCGCTGCTGTAATAGGAGGTACTGAAATATCAAGTAATGCTAATAATAATATTTATTATTGATAGGTAATGTCCTGACATCTCAGAGATTGTGTGATGTTATTTTAAAAGCATTTTCTGCTTGTGCTGGATCTCAAGTATTCCAATTAAAGCTCATTTTTTTATTTAATGCCCACTCAGGGCTGTATGAATAATACTACATTTGGTGATGATACTTTTGGATATTATGAAACAGTTGCAGGTGGAGCTGGGGCCGTGAGTGTTTCAACATGTAAAATGTTCATGTAATGTATGACCGTGTGTACTGTATAGGGGCCAGGCTGGAATGGAAGGAGTGGCGTCCACACCCACATGACAAATACTAGAATAACTGATCCTGAAATACTGGAAAGAAGGTGATTTATGCTAATGTAACAATTATTATGATTGATTGATTGATAGATATCCAGTTATTTTGAAGCAGTTTAGTTTGAATCCCGGCACTGGGGGTAAGGGTCAGTATTTTGGAGGTGATGGCGTCATACGAGAGACAATGTTTCGTAAGCCATTGACCGTCTGTGTACTGTCTGAGAGGAGGGTGTACCACCCTTATGGTCTCCATGGTAACATGATATACATCAGTGGGTTACGTGTAAAGTAATTACAGGAGGAGAGGATGGAAGCAAAGGAAAGAACACATTGATAAAGTCTGATGGTGGCCATATTGACTTGGGGGGAAAGAAGGAAATTGACGTCAAACAATGGGTAGGTACTTAGCCATACCCACTTTGACCCATCACTTGATTCCTTTAGGATGTACTGCGATTGGAGACACCAGGAGGTGGTGGGTATGGTTGTCATGGTGATGAGTCTCCACCCACTAAGAAACCTCGTGTGGTTGATAAAGTATTTCATCCTTTAGGTAGCGTATCAGAATATAAACAAATACAAGAATCTGCTTAACACTTTCTTGATTATTGTTTTGAAATTTTGTAAAATGCACCTGATATTCAGAAGACGTACTCCTGCAGGCCCTAATGCATACAAAATATGCTTCACTGAATGGAACCAGTGGAGCCTCTGCACGTGCTTATAAGGAAGTAATAGGATTTCGTGATAGCATAATAAAATTGTTAATAAAAAGGGATCCATACATTTTAAAAGCAATATACCATAGCATGAAGAGATAAATAGTGCATCAATTAACTAATGATCCATACTCCTTAAAGTTTCCTGCAGACCCAATTGATAAAAGGCGTCTTCTTTCTTCCTCTTTGTCTACACGACTGGACAACTTCTCCTTTAACTGTTTAAACAAAGACTTCTTTGGGAATGGATCTCTTTTCCTGACTAACAAGCATTGAATAATGATACCTAAACAACAAATAATAATAACAACAAACAAATAAATAAATACCAAGTAGTAAGAGGACCACCCAGACACAGGAAAGTATTATATCTAACAAATATATAAATAAATACGTTTAAATCATTGACTTGTACCATATAAAGTAAAAGGATACACTTGATGAAATGATAGATAGTCTTTGACTGAAGCAACTCGCACTACTTTAAGTACAATTTGGTCCAAAGTGCTGAACTCAAAAATACCAATTGAATACACAACAAGGTATCCTCCGATTAACGAGGAGGAGAATATGTTAGAAGGACGAGGGAATATAACAGCTGGAATTAATAGCAATACAACAAAACAAGCTAATAACAATCCATAAACATATCCAATTCGAAAGAACTCGTATGAACCTACAAAAAACGAAAATGTAAATGTTTCTATAGTACTTGGCCTAATTTATGAGAAACTTTAAAGATTTGTAAAAAGTCCAAACTTGATTAAATTCAGCTCAAACATAAGAATATGTATGTATCAGGAGTAATTATAAAAATTGAGAATTCTCTCCCTTTCATTTTTGGCACAATTAGACCAAAATTCCTACAACAGGGACTTTTGTCCAATTTTAGAAGAAATCATAAAAAATTTAAACTTTCTTCACGGCATAAGAACATGTATAATGTATCAGAAAATATAATAAGAATATCATGGCTGTTTAACTAACCAATAGGTGTGTACAATAGAATGGCTCCAATAATGAATCCTGTGGCTCCGTTAACAATAAACATAAAAGGCATAAACCAACCAGTAAAAAACCAAATTATAAAAATAAATAAAGAAATACATAAACCAGCAGCAGCAGCAAGTATCACCAATTCTATAAACAGACACACAAAGCATTATTTATTGATATTAACTAACTGACCAGTATGTGAATAGTGTAGCAGTGCAGTAGTCAGTATGTAGGAGCAGTAAGTGAACGAAATGAATGAAAATAAAAGAACTTCAACATGAAAGAACCGGTGAGATAGAAATATTAACCAAAGACCAATGAGTCCACAGATGACAGATACAACAATGTCGGTAGTGGAGAGGCTAGTATCACAAAGACCATGAGAGTTGAATGCACAGGCATAAGTAACACTGGGGACATAGACTGAACTCATTCCATTCGTCAAACTGGTAGCCATGACAACATAAACTACACCCATTCCTTTGAATGAATCAATTGTAAAGTTTTTAATTCCAGTAGCACTCTCAGAAAAACTAGGCAAGTCCTAAGGAATAATAATAATTATTATTATTATTATTATTATACTAAAGTAATTATAATAATTATAAGTCAATAGTTATGTATACCTTATAGCTATTGGATTTTATTATATTTTTAAGAGTTGCAAAGTAAGTCCCCTGACTATAGTCTCTGGTTCTCATCATTTTCCGATAAATGATGTACTTCAATTGAGAGACACCATAATGCTTTGGACTAACACTGGAGTCAGTACACAATGGAGGAGGTCCACTTCCCTAATATCAACAACCATAAACAACAAACAACAATAAAAAACAAACATTGTATCCTTGGTTCCCATCTTGGAACAGCAGACTAGTAGTGTAAGCAGTGTAGTTCAGCACAACATTGGGATCAGTATCTATTGGAGACACTAGGTTACAACCTCCTGGTATTGGAGCTGTGGGGGAATGGGTCATTAACAATTATTATTAATAATACTGATCAATTACCGTTAATCTTTATTTCAGTAGCAGCAGCCAGAATAGCAGTTGTACTAGCATTGAACACACTGGTGGCTATGCAATAAAATGTGTGGGTATGGTCTGAACTGGGGCTCCAGAGTCCAATGTCACTACCAGATACTGTGGTAGAGTAAGAGAAGGTGGCTGATGTTGATAGACGTATTGTATCATATTGAGAGTGTACTTGGAATATAACCCCAGACACACTGACTGGTGCTGACACCGCAAATGAATACAGAGTCTCAGTATTTACTGTATACTGTTGTACCTCGTCAATGGAGAGACTGTACGTACCTAAGGTCAGGTACATAAGGACACAGACACACCTTGGGATAACTTACTGGCTTCCTTAGCTACTGAAACTGTCACTAAGAGAGAGAATATCACTGGCACTGACCACCAAGGAGTCATTCTGCTGCTGATGCAAATCAGGGTGTGGCTCCAAACAAAGGGTGTGGCTAGTCTAAATGCTAAAATGTCAAACCCTAGAAGATTAGTTTTGTCCTTATACAAAAAGGTACACACCATTGGGTACTGTTGTTATTGTTTAAACTATTTCAGCAGCTTCTTCAGATGGGACAAGAGTATCCATTAGGCTACCAGTACTTTAGAATAAAGTGCAATGGAGCTTTTGTTAGGAACAAGAGCGAAACAGATCCAATCAAGATAACAAACTTATTAAAGAAAGGAGAATATGTACTCGGAGAATTGGAAGCACTTTATAAACTAAGGAAATACAGAACTCTTAAAAAAAGATATTACAAATGAAAAACTAATCAACCTAAATTCAACACACATTAATTAACTAATCTCAATTAATTAATGTTCTTTAAAGTTAATTAAACTATTCAAAGTGCATTTTATGAGAGAAGCCAGACTGCAATACTTGAAAGTAAAGACGTTCAAATATCAGATACTGAGTACCCTGAGCTTCATCAAACTCAAGAGACTCTATTGGGATGAACTCATCGATACTCAATCCTAATGGGGCAAAGTCCCCTCCTCCTTCGACCTTATTAATGGCCTCGGGGCGTGTCTCACTGTTGAAGTGATACACTCCCTGTATGTGGGTGTGGTCACCTAACTGGTTAATTAATCTAACATGAATCTTTCCGGCAATGGGAAACTTTAACATGTCATCTTGTTCACCAGCCATCAGTACTACACTAACTGAGAGATGGGTGCCTATTAATAAATAAATAAAATACGTGTAAAACAAATAAACAAATGATTGTTACCTTTTCCAGTACCTTTACCACGTGGATAAACTACCAGTGCAAATTTGAATCCCTAAACACGAGAAATGAAGTACATTCTACACTGCCTTACTTTCATTGCAGTATAGAATGGATGGGAGATCCAAACATGATTCATTTCATAAAAATGAAAAAAATTTGCAAAAGTAATAGTCTTTGGTAACCATTGTATTGCTCTGGGAAAATCTATAAAAAATAACAATGATTATTATTAATTGTTGTGGCTGAGTATATACCATCGTATAAAAGATCATAACTGTTTGACTTCTTGTCTACATCATCACTGATCCAATTCTTCCTTGGGTCCAGTCCATCCAAAGTATCCAGGACCCTGTCAATGTATCCATTTGATATCCTCACCGTACTGGTCATGTAGTCAAAGTAATCATCTACCGTTAGACTCCAATCAGGATCTACACAGACAGTTATTAATAATACAAGAAAAACTATTGAACACTCACTGGTGACGGTGATTTCATCAAGGACAGTACAGAAGGTGACTCCATTCAATTGCAAAGAGAACCCTCTCTCTCTCGAGACCTTTATGATAGACGGTGTGACCCAATCAGGAGTGGCATAATAAAAAGTGAAGCCATACCCGCTAGACCCGCCCTCTTCTCCGTCCTGTCCCATTACCATCCGGTGAAGGTACTGATGTTTAGTTAACGAGGAGAATACAATCTCAATCAACCAGAAATAATAAAAAGCCGATTTATTATTCTGACTCCAGTTAACGCTTAGTCTAAACGTTGGGTCCATTCCAGGACTGGGGAACTTGTATTTCTTATTTGACCCAATTTGATCTACAAAGTCTGTCATACGCATGTACGAACACTTGATGGCCCTCTTCCTCATGAAGTAAGTGACCTTCTTGCCGAGGTCCCTCCAGCCCAACTCAATCGTTAGGGACTCCAGCAGGAGACAGTTAGTGAAATCAACTCTCGTCCGAATTCGGTCAAACAATCCGTCAAAATCTTGAATGGATTCAACTTCTTCTCGCTGGTCGAGGAACACATATCGAAGGTGGGATTTGAGTGTTTCAAGGTCAGTCTTCTCTCTTATCCTGTCCTTAATGTCGACCCAAAGGTTCTCAAATTCATCGACAAGTTCCTCAAACAGAACCTTGGCATCTTGTGGTGAAACTATTTTGAATAATAATCATTAATACATAGCTACACCAACTTACGTAATGGAGGATTCACTTTATATTTGTCAGCCTCCAGTGCTCTTAATTCTTCATCTATAAACATTGACAATTATTGCTGTTCATAACGTCCATTAATCAGGCTTACTGTACTTGAGCTCCAGTTTGTCAATGCACTCGTGGAGCTCAGGGTAGGCTCTCAATATGTCTAAAAGTTGGTACCAGTTGTCAAAGGTGTCATCAAGAGCTCTGGCGACACTTGAGAAGAAGGCATTGTGACTGTGTGTGTATGAGGGTATGCTGGCAAACTGGGCAGCATCATTCATATCAACAGAGTGTTTTGAAATAACACCACGTCTGTAGAGCTCTTTAGCTATTGGGAGACCGTCCTTTAGTTTGGGCTCAAATTCATCCATTGTGGCTCTAATGGCATCTTTGGCAGCCATGTTGTTGATGTAGGTGTAGAGCTCTGTCCAAAGTTTATAGCCTATCCTTCTGGTGTCTGGCTTGACCATCTGATCCCTAAAAGTTACACAAGATGGCATCATATTGAGAGCAAGGGGAAAGAGAATCAGCCACCAGAGAAAGAGAGAGAGAGAGAGAGAGTTTTGAAAAATAAGCCGCCTCCTTTCAGAACTGAAGCATGAGACTCAGACTCAAAATTTTCCGTATACTCTTTGGTTTCCCGTAATTTATCCGTATTCTATTTTAGAAAGTATACCTCAAAGTATACGGAACATTGCACCACTACTGGCAGAGCTCAGACACTTTCTATTTTTATGATCATTTCTAAATAAAGTAAGTGCATCATTAGACCTGTTCTCTTGTTAATTATTGTTTATTGTTAGGTTTATACACATTATTATATCAAAGTGGCAACTAGCCCACCACTAAAGACCCAATCCTCCTCCTCCTCTTCCTCTGCTGCTGCTGCTGTTTCTGTTACTAAATGGACTCCCATTAGAGAAAGGACTGACATTACACCACAGGAAATAGCTTTAAGAAGAATTAGGAGGTACATATACATGCCTATCCTGTTCAGTCATCTATTGTATTGCTAGTATTTTGAATAAACTAACTCCTGATAATTTTGAAAGGCTCTCCATTGACCTGTGTAATGTCATCCGTCATAATAATAAAGAAGTATTGAAAGGGTCGATATTACTGGTTAGTCAATTAACTATCGCTAGTTATTGATTATTCATAGATCTTTGATAAAGCTGTCGAAGAGACCAATTACACTTATCTTTATGGACAGCTCTGTCTAAAATTGAATCATGAAGCTCCAAATTTTGAAGAACCATCCAGTAAAATTACAGTAAGCCACTCAAATTTATTACACGTACATCATTAACTAATTAATTGGTTATCATTAGACGTTTAGGCGTGTTTTGCTTGCTAAGTGCAAGGAAGCTTTTGAGAACAGAACCAATGCAACTTCAAATGTGGGCTGGGTAGGTAGGTGTGGTCCCAAAGGAGGTGTGTCATTACGGACATTAGTAATTGATTATTATCGTTAATAGAGTATTGGGAAGGGGCACACCCCTCTGTTGCTAAAAGAAAGACACTTGGGAATGTGACTTTTATTGGTAATTAATTAATTAATTAATAACAGCTGGTATTCATAATGTTTTAGGTGAGCTGTTTAAAATTGGAATGTTACATGAAAGAATTGTCCATCAATGCATACAAGAAGTAATAATAATAATAATAATAATAATAATATTAATATTAACTTTATATATGTACATGTACCAGAAAATTGAGAAACTAATGAAGTTTAACTAAAACCCATGTACTATTATGTACAATGTAGTATAGGGACTTTTGTCCGATTTTTTTAATCATAAAAAATGAAAATTTGATCAAACTTTCCACTCAACATAAAAACATGTATATGTATCAGAAGCAATTATAAAAATGAAGATTTATTTCTTTTCCAATTTTTGGTAAAATTTCACCAAAATCCCTGTACTATAGCACAGGGGGACATTGACCCAATTTTAGAGCAACTTTAAATGATCCAAATTTTAACGGAATCAGTTCAAACTTTCTGCACAGAATAAAAACATTTATAACTAATTATTAATATTTTCCGTTTGTCCAGTTGCTTGAGAGGCGTCGGTCACTGGACGGGATGTGTGACAACATAGAGTGTGTTTGTAGTTTACTGGTAACCGTTGGCAACCGATTGGACACCAGCAAGGCCAGTGGTTGGGTTGATCAATACTTCAAGAGAATGGAAGACCTCATGAGCTCAAACGACTTCCCCTCAAGAATAAAGTTTATGATTATGAACACTGTGGACCTTAGGAGAAACCAAGTTGGTGTGGTCATTACGCTATTATTATTATTTATTATTATTCCAGTGGGTTCCTCGTAATACTAAAGTCCTTGAGGTGCCTAAACCCCTTGATAGAGGACCAGTACTTGTTGAATATTCACCTCGTGTCTCCCAGAACAATCACAAAACTTCTGCACCTCTTATAAAAAATCCAGGACCCCCTATTAGAGGATTTGGTCAAAATAAAGGTTTCATGCAGTTGCCTAGGGCAGCTAGTAAAAGTCCCGGACCCCCTCATAAATCATTAAGTCCTGGACCCCCTCTTAAAACTACAGGACCCCTTGTCAAAGAAGGTACTTCTACTAAAGATGTTAATTTGAAAAAACTACCGACGAGGAAAGTAACAAGCAGTGAAAGTGTAAGTGGGTGTGGTTTATTAATGGGGTGGTTTATTAGTGGGTGTGGTTTATTAATGGGATGGTTTATTACTGGGTGTGGTTTTATAGGTCAGTTTACGTCCTTCCTCTGCCTCTCGCAAGTTTCAACAGCAAAGACTCCACCCACCTGCTCCAAAAGATGAAGCCACACCCATCAGTATAATTCCACGTACCAGAGATGATTCTTCTGATGATGAAGCCACACCCAGTTGCCATGACTACCATGTTGTTTCTGTCAAAGGATCGCAAACTGAGGGGAAAGAATTATTAAAACCAAATACAAAAAGTACAAAAAAACTTCATTAATAGTAGCTATTAATAATTATTTGTAGTTCAAGCTGGTCCTGAGCTCTCCAATTCAGAGATTGTTTTGGTAACTCGATGATGTCATATGATGTCACGTTACTATTTTTAGATACCGATACTGACCCAATACTTGTCTCATAAGAGGGTTCCTGATGCAGTACAATTGCTAATGACCAGCCATATTGATTTGGATGAAATAACGCATACTCTAATTAATGGAACACTCAATAAATCAGGTACTGATGATGTAATGTTGCATCATGTGATGACATCATATTACATCATAGAAGATGACAGAACTCTGGTTAGTTTGTTATTTAACGAGTTACATAAGGAGGGTGATCTGTCCTCATTAATATTCATGAAGGTACGACTAATTAATCACTACTGATTAATTATTGATTAATTAGGGTATTGAAAAGGTTTTGTCCAATAGAGTTAAATTTGAGTCTGTCATTAACAGAAACTCAATATCTGGTTACATATCAAGAGCAATTGTTCGAGTTTGTTCAATATAATTAATTAATATTATTATTGTATCTATGCTGCTGTAGGGTGTGGTCACATTAAGTATTGCCATGGCAACGTTTAAGGATGGGGCCCATTCCCCTATTGGTCTTATAGTGGTACAGTCTTTAGTGAATCTGATTGGTCAGGTAAAGCATGTGACTCCTTTTATGTCTAGGTTTCTAATTATAGGACTCGTTAAAGAAACTTTTTAAAGATAACGGAATGTTAATAACAGAGATATTAGCACCTGTTGATAAACCATACCAATCAGCAACTAAAGTACTGGAAAAGAAAGTAATGAATGATGATAATAACAATAATGATGCAATGTTTTTCACAGAATTTAGGATTCTTGTATCCATTGAAGCAGCTACAGGTTCAATTGAAGTCACTTTTAAAAGAACCTCTCACGACCCACCTGACACTGTACAAGTGGATTAAGGTCTCGCTATGTGGGGACTTGATGTACTTATACTGTTCTTTTTACTCCAGGCTAATGTTGATCCTTTATTTTATAAAAACACTGACTTCATTGTGCTACTAACTAAATGGTATATCATATTGTCTTTATATTTTATTTATTCATTTTTAGTATCTTGTCACATGTCATTAAAGCAACAAGTGAAGCTCCTTCAAAAGATGATTTAGACAAAGAGACATTCAAAATGGAGGATTACAAGGTACCTGTCCTGCAGACAGAATAGAGTATTTGAATATCTTATCAACAGCTAGTGCTACAGAAGTTTGTATCGGAAGAGCCAGTGCTACAGTTAGGGGTACTGTATGCCACTCAAGTTTACTGTAATGACGTTAACTTTCCAAAAGGTAAGGACTCTCACTAAATGATGTATTCCTTGTATTGTAGGATTATTGTTGAGGTTGTTCTCCTATTGGTACAATATGGATGTGGTTGAAGAGGAAGTACTAATGAAATGGAGAGAAGATGTTAATGAAGACTATCCTGGAAAAGGGAAAGCTTTATTTCAAGTAATAGAATATTTTCTGATCCATAAACATGTACTTATGATGTGTAGAAAGTTTGAGCTCATTCCAACTTCAATTTTTCAAGTTACTGCCATTTTAAGATAATGTCAAAATTCTGAAAAATATCCAAGGCTATAGCCCATGGTTTTTTCCAAAAAATGGCTCCGAAATCACACCAAATTTTTATTAAATTTTCTGATACATATTGATGCCCTTATGCTGTGTAGAAAGTTTGAGCTGATTCCGACTTCAACTTTTCAAGTTGTGGCCATTTTATGAAATCGGCAAAATTCTGAAAAATACCCAAGGCTATAGCCCATGGTTTTTTCCAAAAAATGGCTCCGAAATTACACCAAATTTTTAATAAATATTTCTGATACATATTGATGCCTTTATGCTGTGTAGAAAGTTTGAGCTGATTCCGACTTCAACTTTTCAAGTTGTGGCCATTTTATGAAAATGGCAAAATTCTGAAAAATACCCAAGGCTATAGCCCATGGTTTTTTCCAAAAAATGGCTCCGAAATCACACCGAATTTTTATTAAATTTTCTGATACATATGTATAGCCTTATGCTGTGTAGAAAGTTTGAACTGATTCCAACTTCAACTTTTCAAGTTACAGCCATTTTATGAAAACGGCAAAATTCTGAAAAATACCCAAGGCTATAGCCCATGGTTTTTTCCAAAAAATGGTCAAAAATTAACTCCAAATTTTTATTACATTTTCTGATACATATTGATGCCCTTATGCTGTGTAGAAAGTTTGAGCTGATTCCGACTTCAACTTTTCAAGTTATGGCCATTTTATGAAAACGGCAAAATTTTGAAAAATACCCAAGGCTATAGTCCATGGTTTTTTCCAAAAAATGGTCAAAAATTAACTCCAAATTTTTATTACATTTTCAGATACATATTGATGCCCTTATGCTGTGTAGCAAGTTTGAGCTGATTCCGACTTTAATTTTTTAAGTTATAGCTGTTTTAAGAAAACATCAAAAATTTGAAAAATACCCAAGGCTATAGTCCATGGTTTTTTCGAAAAAATGGCCAAAAATTAACTTCAAATTTTTATTACATTTTCTGATACATATTGATGTCCTTATGCTGTGTAGAAAGTTTGAGCTGATTCCAACTTTAATTTTTTAAGTTATAGCTGTTTTAAGAAAACATCAAAAATTTGAAAAATACCCAAGGCTATAGTCCATGGTTTTTTCAAAAAAATGGCCAAAAATTAACTCCAAATTTTTATTACATTTTCAGATACATATTGATGCCCTTATGCTGTGTAGCAAGTTTGAGCTGATTCCGACTTTAATTTTTTAAGTTATAGCTGTTTTAAGAAAACATCAAAAATTTGAAAAATACCCAAGGCTATAGTCCATGGTTTTTTCGAAAAAATGGCCAAAAATTAACTCCAAATTTTTATTACATTTTCTGATACATATTGATGTCCTTATGCTGTGTAGAAAGTTTGAGCTGATTCCAACTTTAATTTTTCAGGTTACGGCCATTTTAGGAAATTGCCAAAAATCTGAAAAATACCCAAGGCTATAGTCCATGGTTTTTTCCAAAAAACGGTCAAAAAATCACTCCAAATTTTTATTACATTTTTTGATACATATTGATGTTCTTATGCTGTGTAGAAAGTTTGAGCTGATTCTGACTTTAATTTTTCAGGTTACGGCCATTTTAGGAAAATGCCAAAAATCTGAAAAATACCCAAGGCTATAGTCCATGGTTTTTTCCAAAAATGGCCAAAAAATCACTCCAAATTTTTATTACATTTTCTGATACATATTGATGCCCTTATGCTGTGTAGCAAGTTTGAGCTGATTCCGACTTTAATTTTTCAAGTTATAGCCGTTTTAAGAAAATGTCAAAAATCTGAAAAATACCCAAGGCTATAGTCCATGGTTTTTTCGAAAAAATAGCCAAAAATTAACTCCAAATTTTTATTACATTTTCTGATACATATTGATGTCCTTATGCTGTGTAGAAAGTTTGAGCTAGTTCCGACTTTAATTTTTCAGGTTACGGCCATTTTAGGAAAACGCCAAAATTCTGAAAATTACCCAAGGCTATAGCCCATGATTTTTTCCAAAAAATGGCTCCGAAATCACACGAAATTTTTATTACATTTTCTGATACATATTGATGCCCTTATGCTGTGTAGAAAGTTTGAGCTGATTCCGACTTCAACTTTTCAAGTTGTGGCCATTTTATGAAAACGGCAGAATTCTGAAAAATACCCAAGGCTATAGCCCATGGTTTTTTCCAAAAAATGGCTCCGAAATCACACGAAATTTTTATTAAATTTTCTGACACATAAATGTTTCTATGTTGTGCATAAAGTTTGTCAGTCAAGTCAGGATTTTTATGACTTTTTAAAGTTGCTACAATATTGGACAAAAGTCCCTATACTGTACAGTGATATTGGTCAAATTTCACCAGAATTGAAAATGAGAGAATTCCTAAATTTTAGTACATTTTCTTTAGGTTAATCATTGGCTGGTTCTGCTAGCAGAAGCTGAAGTTGAATCCGATTAACATTGTTTTTATTATTATTATATTTATTGTTATTTATTATCATTATTTATAATGCTTTTAGAAACCACTAGTATCAAACCAGTTCACAAGTTTATGTTCCTTTGCCACTGGTACTGGTTCACTAATGTCTTTGGTATCAGTTTCCTTGAGAAGTAGCTCCAGTTCATGTAAATTATTGAAGTATTTGCCCTCAATCACACATAAAACTTGAACTTTGCCTTCTCCAATAATTTGAAAAGATGCTTTAGAGATATCAATGACAAGTTGATTAGACATTGAATGTCTCAATATTAGTACACTGGCCTTGTTGATTAGCACGATTAATGAACGTATTAATAATTGAACAACAAATTGTACACACCTCAGACTAAGTAACACTCCATAAAGAACCAGTGTTGTTGGATACAAGAAAAGGAGAATAGTGAATAGGAGGGTCCCCAATAGTAACTGATTAGTGTCATAATTACAGGAGTCTACTCGCTCCCTTAGTGGATTGAACTTTTGACCTTTAAACAACCTCCAGAGGCTAACCAACCCTGAGGTCTGTAACTGAAGTAGCCGCCACACAATAATGTAATAGCTAATTAAATAAAGGTTGAGAAACTTGAGGAGATCATGAAAGCAGGCCAGGAATATCGAGAGACCAAGGAACCGTAAGTACAGCAAACACTCAAGAACAGTTTTCAAGTACTGGGTAGAGAAGAATAAATAAAATTCCTCCCACAATTGAAGAATGTATGTGAACCTATTGACAATGAATGTGAGTAGTTCGTTATTAAGTTTCAATCCAATCGGTACACTAGTGATCCATTCCAATGAAGCATACGTCCAATGGAATAGGGTTTTCATGTATAGGGTTAACCACCCACGCATTATTAACACAGGCTCCAGGCCAGTATAGTCCAACAGGACCAGACCCATTAGTACATCAAAGGCTAGCATAATTATTAATCTCTTCCTGAGACCTTTGCTCTTTTGTAGGATCCACTGTAGTTTAAACCAGACCTGCTGAGTCAAAAGGTTTCTCCTGTAAATCCTCTCCATTGTGAGGTGGGTGGGGTCTCACAGCATGTGAGTTGTTTCCTAATTAAGAAAATTAGAGTAATCTCTCCGTTATCGGACACTCCCACTAATCGGACACTGTAACTTTTTCTGAAGAAGTTGCCACTGAATTCTTCTGTTATCATAAGATAGATAACAGAGATAAGGTACATAAAAGTACAAAAAACATCAGCAATTATCTTTTGTTATCAGAGAAAATCATCTCGATGTAAAAATATCGGACGGCCCCAATTCTGGACAATAATT